TAGAACTTATTATCGTTGCCACCACATCCATAGAAGAAGAACTGAACATTGTCCTTGTTAGGTAATGGTTGCACAATAAGTAAGTGGTAATCGACCTTCTCGCAAGTGCCAGATTCAGAATTGAAGTAATACCACCATTGGCCATGGCGCTCGTCATCACAATACCCTGGATCGGGTTCGAGAAGGCAAAGATCTAAAAAGCAATGCTAGAGGAAAGACTGAGCTTTCCTAATTAAAACAGGTTTGATTAGATGTAAATTTCTGCAAAAATATGGGGAAAATGCTTGAAATATAAATTTGCATTTCATTAACGTAAATAGTTTCATTTAAACCAAAAATAAGTTTCTCTCCTACTATATTTTCTTCAATCTCAATTATGTTAAGCTTAAATTATGCAAAGATGATGGCTGAATTGTGGAAAAATGTTGATGTGGAATTAGGGTTTAATTTACCAATTTTTATCTATTTTCTTCGAAAATAAAAGGATTGTTATAGAATTCGCGAGAGAAAGAGCGTTTATAAATTTTTCGTATGAAGCGCAAATTAACACTTTTTTGAGCTATCGCATGTTTCCATCGTCGGGATCTCATGTATAATGTAAAAATTTACCCACTAAGGCAACCTAACCTGGAACAGCAACGGGATTGAAAAGTTTGTAGCGACATTGTTTCAGACATTCGTGCTTAGTATTGAAACGATTTTTGTTGCCCATACATCCACCATAGTGAAACTCCTTACAGGATTCATCAGCCTCGTCCCAGAACCATTTTGTCTGAAAATTCGGTATATCAGCTCATTATGGCTGTCTTCCATGTGACGCTTGCTGCACGAAACCGCGAGGAAGGCGAGTTTGCAACATTTTCGCATAGCGCTAGTCAGCGCTTGGATACAAATAGCATACATATAGTTTTACTTCAGCTCCCCGCCCTTCTCTCCCTTTTAAAAAAACCAAAAAATTTCAATTTCAACTACAAGAATATTGTCTGATAAATATTTTTTGATTTTCTAACATG